TTCTCAATAATGGTTGTGTATGCAAGTTTAGGCTTAGAACAAAACTGAGTTCTTACATTGCAAATCTTACAAAGCCACTTAAATATGGTGTTTATCCCCCTAGCAAAGTCTCTCATATATGAACCTGTCTCCCCATTCATATCAGTGGTTTTCTATTTTGATTTTTGAGTCAATTCCTGTTGTAAAACAATTTTTTTTCACCATAAAAATTTGTCTGTCAGAAGCCTAGGAACTGCAATGCAGACTCTATTTAAGCCTCAAATCTGCGAAGAAGCTAATGATGCTTGGAAGAATATATATGTTGCCTGTTGAGGTTGAACTTACAATTTTGAGACAATGTAAGGTACCACCAATGATTTGGTGTTGCAAGTTATGTGATTTAAATGGACAAGTAACATTTTATGGTGTCTTGATCTGCAATTCTTGCTTTTTAAGTTGATTTTACAATTATAGGAGTGAAATTTGGAAGCATTCTTAAAATGTCTTTTCTTTTAGCCTCATGATTCTAGACATTCTGCTGGGGAAAATATAGGGGCATGAACATATAATATTTATTTATACTTTTTGGTTATACAGAAACGAAATTCTTTGTGGTTTGTGAACCTGGGACACAGCACATGGAGGCTCTCTTGAAAGTCATCTATGAACTATACACGGATTATGTCTTGAAGAATCCCTTCTATGAGATGGAGATGCCTATTCGATGCGAACTCTTCGACATCAACTTGACACAGGCGATTCAGAAGGATCGTGTTGCCTTGTTGGGACGATGAACCCATTCAACATTACCAAATTGTTTTTCTTTTGTTATCTTCATGTGTACATCTCCAGTATGAAAGGTTCTGTGCCAATGCTGAAGTATTTACAGCATCGGATTATTATTAGAGTTGTCTTTTTCAATTATTGGTTCAAATGGGCAAGTTTTAAAATCTTAATTTCAATAAGAAACATAAACTATTAGATGAAGAGGTCTTATGAATTGTGTTTTACAATCTAGTTCTAGTATAGTCTCAACGTGGCAAAACTCTATATTTAGGTCTTTGAATTTTCTCTAGTTTTAGATTAAGTAAATGAATCTTTAAACTTGGTAATTTAAATAATTTATTTATTTTTTCTTTATAACAGATTTAAAATTTATTTGTGCATTATTTGTATGTATAAAGTATTAATATATCATTATTTACGTGATCCATATTGATTTTATCCATATAAATAAGACACAAACTAACATTAAATCTATCATAACAAATAGGTTTATATTACTAAGACCAACAAGTTTAATGACTTATTTGTTTTAATAAAAACTAAGGGGTTTAATTAAGAATCTGAAATAAATTTGAGACTTAATATAAGGTTTTGGCGTTTTGCCTTTAAGAAAACCAAAAAAAAAAAAAAAAATCATTTGGGTCTATAGGTTTTGTAGGGAAGGGTTGGGCCTTCGGGTTGTTGGGTTGGAGGTATAGGCTGAGGGCGTAGATGTTTAATGACTGCATTTATAAAGTGTACATCCTACCGAAACCACTTGGGTCTTGGGCTTCTTCTCACCGATCCCTATACGATCTGCTCTGCAGTTTTCTGTACCATTTTCAGTGTTTATTTAATAGGAGAGACTCCTTGTATTCCTAAGCTGCCCCACTGCCAGGGGGCTCCCTGTGAAACTTTATCAGGACACATCCTTCTATATCACCATCCAATGAAGGCATGAATGGTGGTGATCTTAAGGTGCAGGTACACAACGGTGAGTTGGGTATTTACCTTTGAAAATCTCCCCTCATCCCGCACCACCTGAAAAATGCTTTAGGCTTTTCAGAGTGTGGGGCTCAAACTAAAAGATTGTGGGAGGATGAAGATCTCCCTCAATTTTACAATTTCTTTGACCTGTCAAATCATCTTCTATTACTCTCCAAGCATTACCCTCCTATTCTGCTTCCCTCTTTTAGCCCTTATATATATATATATATATACAAAATATCAATTGAGCTTGTATCCAATCTCAATGAGAGGGAGAACTACATCTCAGTTAAGATTTTCAAAAAAAAAAAAAAAACTACATCTTAGTTAAGGGGTAAGAGTCATTCGGTTTAGGTGCATATATTATATTTTATTATATTTTTTATATATAAAAAATAAAAATAAAAATTAATTTATTAATTATTTAATTAAAAATATTTACACTATACAAGTGTTTAAATTAATATTATTTTTTTAGTAAATTAATAAAAGTAAAATAAATGTACTGCTAAACAAATTCAACAGTAAAATAAAAATATTATTTGATTTATAAATTTATTAAAATATTTTTAATAAATTTGTTTTTAATTCTTTAATAATATTTTAATTATTCAGTGTCGTATCGTGAAGTTGCCCAACCAGTGACGATATTTAATTAATTAAAATATCTTTATTACTTTGAACCTTTCTGCATTTATTGAGAAATTTTCATAATTAAGATAAAAATATTTTATTTGAAATATTATTAAATCACTGTAAACTCAATCGAAAACGATTCTATGGTTGCAATTTTTCATTTTAAATTTGTAGTGTCTCTGTCTTGTGCTTTGTAATTAGGTCCCATATATTTCATTTTTCTTTTGCTTTTTCCTTTCTCTCTCCTTCTCCACCTGCTTCTTCTCATTATGGTAATTAAATACCATTACTAAATTTCACTAGTTTTGCACTTGATCACAAGCTGGATGATGGCGATGGAGACAGGAGATGTTCACAGGCGGCGTAAAAAGAGGAGGTTACAGGACGAATTCGAGGCGATGAATTGCACTAGGGTGGAAAATGGTAGGGGTAGGTTTTAACTGACTTATCACGTGGCAAGTATAGGGTTCCAAGTGTATCTTTGGTAAATCTAGTAAGAATTTTTATTTTTTTTAATGATTTATATTTTATAAATTTAAAATTTTTTTAAAAAATATATATAGATTTTTTTAATTTTAAAAAAATTTTAAATAATAAATTTTAAAAAATTTTAAATTTATATTTTTTATAAATTTATTTATTTATCTTTATTTTTTTAATAAAAATTTAAATTTATCACTAATAAATAATAAAAAAATAAAAATTTATAAATTCACTAAACATACTCTAAATCTTATTAGAAATTAGGATTATTATACATTTTTTTTTTTAAATATATATCATAAGTTTTTTAAAAATAGTGATATAATTATAATTTTTTAATATAGTTGTTTATATATTATTAAATAAATATATATACCTAATATCATAAATAAGAAATAAATAATATTTAAATTTATATAAAAAATTATTTTTAAATTATTTTTCATTCGTTCATGATTCTTTTTATTGTAATATACTTCTTTTATTTCAAGATAATTTTATTTTTTTTACTTTAAAATTTTTAAAATTAATTGTTATTTTTTAAAGTAAATAAATATTTTTTTATTTTAATCTATCATTATTTATTTATATTAATTAATTATTTAACTACAAAAAAATTTTATCTTTTATTTTTTAAAAGATATTATAAATAAACATAATAAATAACTCTAACTTTTTAATTTAAAAAATTTAAAAATATTTATTTTAAAATGAAAAGAATAAAATTATTATTTTATGCAAAAAAAAACCACAATTATCTTTTTTTTTTTTTTTGGTTCCCCATCTGGTATCCGAAGCTTCGCCCCGACTACTCCGACTCGACCAGCTGTGACGCACCAAAATGATGGGTGAATCTCCCAACAAAAACTGCTGTGTACACAAGTTCTCGACAATTATCTTTCAACAAGAATCTTACTTGATAAAAAATATACAGTTAAAAACAAGAAACTGCAAAGGTATAGCCTTTTTACATGGGATTGGCAAACAGGTTGATACATTATTGTTTGGAGGGCAAAAGGGGATGGGAGGGGATTACAATAAAAAGAAACTGGCGGTCAGCTCGTCACTCTGTTCTGACTAGGGTTTTTTTTTTTTTTTTTTTGTACCGTTACCACTCCACTAGTATTAAAGACAGAAAAAATTCTGAAACCGAAATTATAGAGTGACAGGGAAAAGTGAACCGACGTTACTTATCACTGACACCCATTGCGCGCCCCCCCCTGACTGCACCAGAAGGTCCCGTCTCCATCCACCTCGTCTCCTTGTGCCGCGAAACGCGGACTACAGTCCGCCCCAACCCCGCCCTTCTGGGTCCATCGCCAGGTGGCGCCAGTATCCTCGGTATTCCCCCGTCCAATGATAGCTTCCAAAGACCCCTCCCTCCCGTTCTAATTTCTACGGCTCTGTTGCTCTATGATCATCTATCGGTCATGTTCGAAGTCCTCGAATGGACGGTGGATGCTTTCGTAGATATAAAATTAGAATGTGTAAGGATAAGTCCCGGTTCGTTAATTTCGGATCGTACTGTAAGAATTTTTTAATGATTGAAGTGAAGTTAAACTTAGTATTTTTGATCAAACGGGCTACATAATAAATATAGTGGGTATATCTACATCTGATTTATTATATAATTTTTCGGTCTCGAATTTGTAATCGGTTTCAAATTTATCTCTTTTAAGGATACGTGACACTTCGATCATCCTACTAAGCAAGTCATGTGGATAAATACCTATAAATACCTCATGAATGCCTATAAATACCCTCAAGGATCACGTAAAAAAAGTAATTGAAACTATCCTAAAACTCCTTTTTTATTAGTTCAAAAATAGATTCAATTATTACTGATTTAAGTATCAAAGTGTCTATCCTAAAAACCCATCTCAGGACTTTACAGATTCATTCGAAGTAAAATCGTAAACTAAAGAAAGATTTCTAATTTGATGCAATTACAAAATAAACATCGGTTGTGATCTGGTGGGGCCAAGAGTGACTGCATTTTTTTTAGGATTTTAGTTGAATAAAAATAATTATTTTTTATTTTTTATTCATTTTATTCATATACTACACTATTTAAATTCATAATTTTTTATTTTTTTTAAAAAAATAATTATTAAATTATTTAAATAATTAACAAAAATAATTATATCTTTTGGAGTGTATTTCAGTATTTCTTACTGAAAATGATAAAGAGTAATTTTTTTTTAATATTTAGGATAGAATTCAAACTCTACGTTGTCAGTTTTTTTACAAGAGAAAGATGATTATTATGCCATAAGGATGTTTTTTATAAAAAGTAACTTTGGAATTATTTTTTAATATAAATAATAAATTATATAATAAAAAATAATATTTTTAATCCATCTTCATCTGTCTTAATTTTGTTGGGCTAACTAACTTATATAATTATATTGGTGTTGGTAAGAGAAAAATTAAAGAAAGAATATTTGAAATTATATTGTTTTATTAAAATATAAAAATTTAATGATTAAAATAAAAAATTAATGAAATGATGTAATTTTATTTTTTTTAATTTTTTAAAAGTTTTATTATTAAATAATTTATTCTTATGTTTTAATTTATAAAACCATGCTTATACTTATAGTATATTTGATTTAAAAAACAACAAAAATAATTTATCAATTAAATTACGATATTATCAAATATTAACTACAATCTAATTAATTAAATAATCACCCCTATTTTCTCTCCTTACTTCTATTTCCCTTCAACCAAAGAATTCAACCCTTGAGTAATACCCTCACCGTTTCTAACTGCGAGACATAAATACCTAACCCCCTACTTGACACGTGCCTAGTGTGTCCTGCTTCCCCAATAATGCAAGTTGGGTATCCCCTATCGTCCGCCCTAGATGGCATCCTGTGGATTCCACTTTCCATTTTAAAGTCAAACAGCATCTTTCAAATCAAACGGCCCTGATCTTACTGTTATTTCCTAAACATGACCGGCGCGTAATCCCCCCTCCCCCTAAACAAACCCGAAAACGGAAACCGCGAAATGACGGAAGGAAGGAGGCGCAATTTAAGCGCTGAAATCGAGCTTACGCCCTTTCAAACCACTGTTTATGTGTAGTTATATATATGTACTGTGCTCGCTCTCCCCTCCCCCCTATTCGTATGTACGTATTACGCATGGCGGAGGTCAGCAGAGCAGAACGTGGAGGAGGAGGAGGGAGGAGCAGTGGGCGGTGCTGACGCTAGTACATTCCATGAACCACGTCAGCGTCGACCTTTGAATACCGACCGTTCGCTGCGGCTTTTGCCTCCTTTCACCCCCTACTCGCGTGCCCTTTCTGTCAGATCTCTTTTTTGGCTCTCTAAAAAACCCACTCACTCTCTCGTTCTGTATCTTCAATTCTTATTTCTTTTCCTTTTTTGTTGTTTTTTTTGGATCTCTCTAGTCTAATCTCCGTTCCGTCTAGTCTAGTCTAGTTGCTTCCACTTTGTTTTCTCTCTAGCTCTGGATTTTTTTTTTCTTTCTTTAGGGTTTTAAAGAGTCTGGTTTTGGTTCTCCTATCTCTGAAGAGATGAAGATGCAATGAAGAAGATGAAGTTTGGTTTCTGCAACTCGAAGAGAGAATAGTAAGGATTTTTTTTTTTTTTGCTCTTTCACTATGTCATTTTTGCTTTCAAACAATTCAGAATGTAATTGTTTGTAGTGTAGGTTTCCCCTGTTTTGTTCCTGACTCTGTTTTCTCCGGATAAGCTTATACAATTTTATTTGCTTTAAAACAAAACTTTACTTCTTTTTGTTTCAAAGTCTCAATTTCATCACAGATCCTTTGGTGAAGAAATTTGTAGTCTTACAGCTGTGATTTTTTAAAGTTTTGTATTTTCATAATTTTAGCATATAATCACACAATCGATTTTGGATTTGTATTTTTAGTAAGAAAATCAGTTTCCTGAAATAAATATGCAAATTGAGAAGAAATATAGCTTTGAAGGTACACGTGGATGGTGTGGTTTGCAGGGACTTGGAAGGACTCTTGTTAACCTAAATACAAAAATGTAGCATTGAACAGCTGAGGTTAAGAAATCATGTTGTCCTTAGGAGATTTGATGATTTAATGCTCAATTTTGAAATTGATATTTGGTATACTCTATTGTACCGCCTTGGTTTTAACTGCATACCAGTGCTAGAATTATGTTTTGGGAAATTTTTTATGTATATGTGCAGAAGTGTCTCCAAGTTGTTGTTAATGTTTCCCGTCCTTGTGTAATCTTGGATTAAATCTAGTGGCCGTTGCAACTTGTGCTTTCTACATACACCGTTCTGGCAGGAACGTCTTGAAATTGTTTCTCAATTATTGTTCCTTGAGCATGACACTAGGGGTTTTCTAATTGGTTTACCAGGACAGAACTGGATTTTCTCATTCAGACATTGTTCTCAGAGATGTTTCAATTTTAGTGTCTTCTGTTTGTCATTTATGTATGTTGTTTGTTAGTGATACAAACTTACAGTGAAGTATTCTGTGTACCTTGTTCTATAAATGATGAATTCCAAGGTTTACCAATAATACATTTATATAACAGCTTTGCACGAATTCTCACTTTTCAGTTTGATAATTGGATCCACGGCCCTTTAATGAAGTATTAGCAATTTGGTCTTTTCTTATTTGAAATTAAACATGGTGCAGTTTCCTCATCTGAACTTGATGTAGGGTGGAACTGGAAGTTTTGTAGACTGAAGCAGTAAATGCATCATCACTTTACTATTGATTTTTAGGTTATGATTCTTGCCAATCTACTATCTTGTTTGTGTCTGCTGTTTGCCGTAATTGGTGTTTGGTTTGTGGCTACCTGAGTAAAGTCATTTTGCTCTTTCCGTGGCTGCAAATTGTAGCAATATTGGCTGGGAATTGACAGCTCTTTGTAGTATTTCTTGGATTTCAACTTAGTTGTCTTGAGAAGTCCATGATCCTAGTGCATTATGTTGGTAAAATTTTTGTCCATATATTGGCAAAGTGGTAGAAAGACTTAATGTGGGGAATTATGAACATGCACGAAGATCAGTGCTAGACTACGTAGCTATTTTGCATCATGAACATGGTGGTTGTACATGCTCCAATTACTAGTTTCTATATCTTGGTTGTTATATTCTTTTCAAAAGGAATACTTATTTTACTGTGGGAATGGTTGAAATACTCGGTATATTGTGGGAATATTTTGTTTTCTATGGTTTGTCCTTAATCAGTCATGCTGTTTTGTTCCTCAGGGATTTTTTATCTCACTTTCTAGTTGGCATCCCCATTTCCTCAAATCTTTCCTGCTTTTCTTTTTTAATGGTAAATTCTTTGCTTTCTTATCATCCCTAGAACTTCAAAGTTGAATGGTAGAGTTATCTTACTTGTGATGATATTTCAGGAACATTATGAGAAGCTTAAGGCAATGGACAGCAGTGTCTGCACCAGGAAATGAAAGAGAGGCAGCGTTGGACATCTGAAGAGGATGCTTTGTTACGTGCATATGTGGAGCAGTATGGACCAAGGGAGTGGAACCTCGTGTCGCAGCGCATGAACACACCCCTAAATAGGGATGCTAAATCTTGCTTAGAAAGGTGGAAGAACTACCTCAAACCTGGTATCAAGAAGGGATCTCTTACTGAAGAGGAGCAGCGTCTTGTCATTCGTCTTCAAGCCAAACACGGTAACAAGTGGAAGAAAATTGCAGCTGAAGTCCCAGGGAGAACTGCTAAGAGACTGGGCAAGTGGTGGGAAGTGTTTAAAGAGAAGCAGCAAAGGGAACAGAAGAACAATAAGGCAGTCGATCCTATTGAAGGCAAGTACGATAGAATTTTAGAAACTTTTGCAGAGAAACTAGTTAAAGAGCGACCTAACCCAGCACTTGCCATGGCTACTTCCAATGGAGGCTTTCTTCATACAGACCCACCTCCCCCCACACCAACTTTGCTTCCACCTTGGCTCTCGAATTCCAGTAGTGCTGCTGCTGTCAGGCCACCATCTCCATCTGTAACACTAAGCCTTTCTCCCTCAACTGTGGCTGCTAATCCTCCAATCCCTTGGTTGCAACCTGAGCGGCCACCTGAAAGTGGCCCTCTTGTTTTAGGAAACATGGTGCCTCATGGATCAGTTCCTAATTGTGGCGACAACCTGCTGATAACAGAACTGATGGAGTGCTGCAAGGATTTAGAAGAAGGGCACCGCGCTTGGGTTGCACATAAAAAAGAAGCAGCCTGGAGATTAAGAAGAGTGGAGCTACAACTGGATTCAGAGAAGGCATGTCGGAGAAGGGAGAAAATGGAAGAAATAGAATCAAAGATCAAGGCTCTTAGAGAAGAACAGAAGGCTTCTCTTGACAGAATTGAAGCAGAATACAGGGAACAACTAGCAGGACTGAGGAGGGATGCTGAAGCGAAGGAGCAAAAATTGGCCGAGCAATGGGCCACAAAACACTTGCGACTTACCAAGTTCCTTGAACAGATGGGGTGCAGGCCTAGGCTTACTGAGCCCAATGGCCGGTGAGAGAAGATCATACATGATTCCAGTCTGCAATATGCTTAAATATCCTGCATTTTTACACTTATAATCTTGTTTTATCTTAATCTTTGATTGTCTGTGCATTCTCTTCCCATTTTCTACCATATATGTCTATTTATTTTCATTGCCTGCTAGTTGCTTGAACTGACTGAATGTTATCTTCCATTCACCTTGTTAAAGTATATCGAGTTCTGGAATGAGAGGATTGGATGTGATAATTTAACTGGCAATGGCATTGGGCCTACACCTATCCTCTTGATGGAAACACGACCACATGCCCACAAAAGTAGAAAAGGTGCACACACAATCGAATAACTCTCTCAAATGATGTGCATACCAAATAATTGAGATGAAATGTTTGTATGTTGATTGTTGGTGTCTAACTGAAGTTCTATTGAGCATCTCTCTCAAATGATGGGCTAAACTATGTTCTCAAGCATTACAGAATTGTTACTTTATTTGATTTTTCTAGAATCATCTTATGCTATATATATTTTAGGAAGATGTAAATTATTGTTTGCATGTTCGGGACAAGCATGGACGGTACATATGTTCACTGCTGTGTGCATTTAATTTTTTCGCCACTGGTGTACATTCCAAAGAAGATCTTTTTCATCCTTGAAATTCTAGATTTTTTGTTTCTTTGTATTTTTGTTTCATTCACTAACTAAAATATTAGATGTATCAACTATCTGCCTCACAAGGCCTGGTGCCTTTTTTTTTTTTCTTCTTTCGATGCTTATTTTATGCAAGTATTTATGTTCCATTCACCATTAGGTTCTCGATTTCATTGTGCATGAGTCTTCTCTTTTGTGAGTTACTCTGCACTATTTGCAATTACTTTGTATGAACAGCCTAGAACTCAAGTACTCATTTTGGGTGAAACAATGACTGAAATGTAATTGGTGTTGTTCTCATAAAAACATATATCTGAATTTAAACAAACGAGTCATTGAAAATGATCATAAGTATTGCATCACGCCACGGCTAGTATCCACATAAAACAAACCGAGCATTAAATAAACTTCTCGTTTTCGAAATTTAGGACAGTAGCTCGAACTCTGGTGCTATTGCTTCATTCTTTGCATTCACCAGGGAAATAGACTCTTTTAGCATAACTTCTTCACGGTAATTGGAAACATTGCGTCACCTACGGGGTACTCCAACAATCCTTTATAGCATCAGTAAGAATCTTTAGTTGGGTTTGCATGGTCGAAGCTTGAACTTGATAAGCATGCTTTCTCTTCTTACCAGAGCTGGAATTCTATTGTACATAAAAGGCATCCATAAGTTAGGTTTTTTAATTTTTTTATTTTTGTATTAATTTTTCGATATTTGATAACTACATTGAATTTCAATTAATTCAGAATTGAGTCGCGTTGGACCTTATAAAGAAAAAGTTTTCTCAGCATATGTTACTCTATTCACAAAATTTGAATTTGAGATCAAAATCTTGTTTAAAGGAAACCAAACTCATTCCTTGGATCAACAATTCATTGGTGGCATCCATTAGTAGTAACAGCAGAAGGAAGCTTGGAGAAAGTTGGCGTTTGGAAAACTATAAAATCGGAGTCTCGGAGAAGAGTGAGGACTCAGGTTGCTATTTAATGACCTGAGCTGCTACTGCGAATCGGAAGTGCCTCAGCATAGCTTTCCTTGATGAGCGGAACTGCTTATTTATCCCTCGCTCGACTTCAAATGAAGGCAGGCAATACACCAAATTTAGAAACTCAATTAGGGTGTCGACTGTTAATCCATTAGCAAACTGCCCTTAATACATAGTATATATGAGACTAATTATTTATTCACCTCCAACATGTTTTCTCAAATATTTGTCATGTTACGTTTCACGAATGAATGCAAGTTTTCTCTAATATATCGAACGTTATTCTCAAAAGAGAAAGTGATATTCCTTGAATTACCTTGTCTCTCCCTACCTCCTGGGTCTTTATTCCCCCAGGTACCATGAGGCAATTCACAATGTCGGCTTCCTTTATACATAGCACAAGCTGTAAGGTGCTCTCTAGGACTCCTTGTGTTAAGGAAGATTAATTGTTGGTATCTGCCTTCTTCTCTCTTGTAAGGTTCAAGAAGGGATTGAAGAGTTTACAAAGAGTTATAAGCAAGCCAAATAATTGATGCCTAAGGCAGTCCATATGGGATAAAATACTGTTTAATGCATAGAGATTTAATTCATTTATTCAGTTGACTCAAGTGGTAAGGATGGAAGTGAGAATTATGGCTTAAAAAATATGAGTTCGAGTCGCTCTGTTACCATTTGGGTAGCAAACAATTTTAATAGCCTGCGGCCATCCTTGGAGGTAAATTTTATTCAGTATATGCGAACGTGTTGGTTTGCAAGTTAAGCGTGGAAATAGTTGGGCCTCTTCAGAGGCCTAGATATCCTTATTATAAAAAAAAGGTTAAAATTTAATTGAATTTTGCAATAGAATAAATCTCTTATTTGTGCCATGCACATCATTATTATTATTATTATTATTTACGATTAATACCTCAATAATTTTTACTTCAGGTCAACACCATTCGTAATTTAAAATTAGTAAAAAAAACTTAAAAATTAACAATCAAATCTTTTATTTGTACCTTGATTTTGTTAATAATTTGGCGTTTTTTATGGGTTTCAAATTATGAAAGATATTGATCATGAAAAAAATAATATACAAGGTGCAAATAGAGAGTTTATCTTTTGCAATATCTAAGCAATCCAGATTCATATGAACATATTGAAAGTTTACAATGATTTGAATTTTATTGCCTTTTCTTTCATAAGAATGGATTTTGTGCCTAATTTAGCCAACTTTCCTTGTATTTCAAAGATTTTATTACCTTTT